AGCATTAAAATAGGTTATGGAATGATAGATCATAATTGAAGCCTAGTTAGTATAGTAAGCATTAAAATAGGTTATGGAATGATAGATCATAATTGGTTTATTGATTTTAACTTTTCTTCTTGGTATTATTTTATAAATCCATCAAATTAATGCTGACATTTTATTATTTTAGAGCATTGTGCCTTTTAATTTATTTCATTGTAATTTTGAGTTTTGAACAAGTCAATCTCCTAAGTAGTGAATTATTGATCATCTATAAATCCATGTAATGCAATTAGCTTTTAATTATAATATTGTCAAATTGCTTAATTTATCCTATGAAACTCTTTACGTTTTACTGAATCTATTCTCTCTTAATTACTTTATAATGGATTAATTCTTTGAGTGTTGACAATTAAAAGAAAGAAATATATTCTGTGGTTATATTCTATTTTTTCATTACTTTTTTGTGGTTTAAATATTTCTTCAAGACCCAGCCACATCAAGCATAGCAAGCGCAACCTAAACCTTTGCTCTATACGGTCTCTCCCTCTCAAGGGCTTCATCATTGAATTTGGTTGTCATCCTTTGTCCCAAATTTGTATTCCCTTGGTTTGGTTTCTTTTGATAATTTTTTCTTTTCTACTTCTCCATTTATAATTATATTACATGTTTCTCTTTTTCGTTTCATATTTAGAACTAAGGAGCACCTGCAATCTCTATCTATAGAGCAAGAATCCAAGTCTAGTTATCTCTTACATATAGTAAGTATATTATAAGAAAATTAATTCTGTGATTATTTGCTATGGCTTTATGCAAGTCCGACAATTTACATTTGGTGTTCATGCTTTCTACCATACTGAAGTGTGTACCATTCTACAGAAGATTGCTTGCCTGATTAAGTCTCTGTTTATATATGGCTACTGCAAGGTGTAGAATATGAAATTATAGTTATATATGCTTTTCTTTTATAATTAATATTATATGTACTCTTTATGCTTTGACAATTTTGTAATGGCAATACATAGTGATTCAAGTAATACTGCAATTGTTCCTTTTGTTCTTAAACAAGATAATTGTGAAGATTGGAGAATTTACGTTGAAGACTATCTATTAGCTCAAGATCTTCGGGGCATCCTCGAATCTAGGAAAAATATTTGATTTGGTTTCTTCTTCGGATGGTGTAGGAAATTGGAGGAAAAAGAATGGTGCAGCTCTACATGTAATTCATACTACATTGTCGGTAGAAATTTTTGTTCAAATAAAGAAATCAGTTCAGCAAAAGTTGTTTGGAATAAATTAGCCAAAATGCATCAACAGGGGCAATCTAAATCGGAACCAGAAATTGGTGTGGAGGGATCAGATGGTAAGATTGATTTAAAGAGATTTTCAACTAAATTAATTATACCTTGATTGAAGTATAATTTGATTATAATATTTTAATTATTGTCAGGAAAAGAAGATGAGATAACTGAAATGATTCATTGTGAGGGGTTAGATGGTGATAATTTTTATTGATTTGAACATAATCTCAATAAAACTTAGTGTGAAGTACTTACAATTTTAATTAGTATCTTGATTATTCATAGGGGAAGAAGATGTGATAACTGAGGATTTTCGCATTGTGGAATTGGGAAAGAGCATTCGCAAAGGAGATTGGAATGCTGTTAAGCAGTTTTTTGTTTTTGACAAGCATCCACTAGATACAATAATTGAAGGCTACACTGCTCTTCATTTTGCAATACTGGCCGGGAAATATGAGATTGCCGAGGAGTTGATAATGATGATGTCGGAAACAGATCTGGAAAGAAAGACTGCGTGGAACGTTGGTGGTCACACTGCTCTTACCTTGGTTGCAACGACGGGAATAACACACTTGGCAAGATGTTTGGTCGGAAGGAACCGCAGTTTACTTAGAATTGGAAATGATCAAGGCCATATCCCAGTGACTGCTGCATGTGCTGTGGGCCACAAGGAGATGACATACTACCTTTATTCTGTCACCCCACCCGAAGTCTTCCTACCACAAAATGGCAGACATGGATCCGATCTCATGTGGGCGGGCATAGATAACAAAATTTTCGGTAATCGTGTAATCAAATTTTTTTTATTTTATATAGTGTCTTGTGTGTTAGGGATCCAAGATGCATGAGAGGAGTTAGTGGCCCGGCCCACTGCCTCCCCTATCCACACTAGTAGCAGATACCTTGATCGGAAAATTTTTAAAATTAAATGTAACATTATTTATAAATAAATCTCTAAAATATAAATTTAAATTAAAGTTTTACTTGTTTGTGAATATTTTGCACATATTTGTTTGTAGTATCATGTTTAAAAATGTAAATTTATAATTTTTAGTTAATTTTAATTAATATTTCATATATTTTGAGATAATAATAATAATAATAATAATAACAACACTTACACAACCCAGCAGTCCTGAAAGCCTTTAGTTTCTTAATTTTACAGTATGATTTTGCTTTCAATTGAGTACGTACTAAAATTTTTTCCCTTACTGGGTTGATCATAATTGAGTTCTTGAAATATATTTTTACAGTAGTGGAGTAGGTGATGGTTAACTTTTCTTCTACTTATAAACCAGGTATTTGCTTGGATCTAATTCAACGCAGCCCAAACTTGATCGTTGCTCCCAACGAAGTAATGCGGAAATTTTCTCCTATTTTTATAATGTCGCGTCAACCTAAAGCATTCTTTAGCGGATGTAAGCTTCGGTTTTGGCAATTATGGATTTATCATTGTAAGTATGGATTCCCTTTAATTTCATATTTTAATCTTTAAATTTTATTTATTTTTTTGGTTATATATATTGATTTAATCTATCTATTTACGGTATATGTATTGAAGGGTTAAAGATAAAGTTACCCTCAACTTCCTCGGTTGAAATAGAAATTCCTGCTACGATTGAGACCTCAAAGAAAAGAACATCAAAATACAAGGTATTTAAATGTATCCAAGGTTTTTTTTTTCTTTGGTAGTAATGTATCCAAGTTGATTACACTATAACGTGATTTCTTTGCCCAAAAAAAACCAAAACTTTAAAGTTAGATCTACCATTAATAAGTATTATATTGTTGGATACTTTTAAGGTTTTAAGTCTTGGATTGTCATTTAAAAAAATTAATTTCTTTGAATATATTAATGTAGTATGAAGGTGTGTTCTTAAGATCTTTTGAGGAGGATTAAGTTTTGTTTATGAGTGTTGGACTATAATTATAATGGTATGTTTTTTAAGTCTTTTTTAATATCTTAAAATTATATAAAATATATTTAATATATTTAATATTTATTTTTAATTGACATTTTATTTATTTTTAGAGTAGTAAAATACAAAAAAAAAAATCAAAAACAAAAGCACCAAAATAACATTCTCAAATAAAGCCCTTATCTTCAAATACACAAAAATTAATAAGGAGAGACTCTTACCATCTAATCACCACATTGCATTTTAGTATTTGTTATATATGGGAAAGGGGAAACCAACAATCCTTTGACTCGAAACCCTCAAGCTCACCAGGGGATGATTGCCACTAAATCAAGTGGCACGCCACTTGATTTGGAGCGCGGAAAACATGGACTTATAATTATTGTTTTAAGTCAGCACGTACATAACAGTATATATAATGGAAGTTTTCTTTTATTATTTTCTTTAAAAATAGAATAAAAATAAAATTTTAATCCATTAAAACTCTATTAAAGTTCTGTTATAAAAGAAAGTTGTTTTTGCACACAGAGACAGCTCTCCCTTTGTTTTTTTTCTTTTTTCTTTTTTCTTTTTTTCATTTTAATTATGTTAGGTAGTGTAACTTTTCACTTGTCGAGTCGTACTTCTCAGAGGTGCAACTTTTTATTTTATTGGTATGTGTTTTATTATTTTTTAATTTAATTTTTTTAAATGAATTGAATAAATTAATAGTGTTACAATTTTTAAGAAAATTTATTTAAATATATATAATGGATAAAAAATGTTTTATTAAATATTTTATTTAAGAGTTAAATACTTAAAATTATGCGAATTTATATAAGATAATATCAATTATGTTAATGTAGTACTAAAATAAAATTTTGTATTGTTCTCCTTTGTACATGCTCTAACAGAGATTTATTCTTGGAGTATTTGATCAACACGTTAGATTGAGCTTAATGTTCCAAAATTTCTGTGGTAACGCACCCTCAACCATGAAACTTATTTTTCACATATTTTAGCATTTATACTTTTATTATTCTATTCTTATGCCTTCCATAGTGTATGTTAATTGATTTTTGATTTACTTAGCAGTTAAAGAAATTTATGATTTGAAGTTGACGCATCTACGTGTCCGTGAGATTCTTCGATTTATGTGTGACTATATTTCAACATTAAAAGTTAAATCTCTTTTGAATTGTGGAGTGGTTGACGCGATGTTTGAAGCTACCAAGCAGGGCATTGTTGAATTCGTCGTTGAGCTATTGAAAGTAAGCCAACCATTCATTTTCCGTGATAATGATGGCAGACACGTTTTCATGATAGCAATCGAATATCGTCAAGAAAACATTTTCAGCCTCCTATATGGCATTCATGGGGGATGGAAAGCCTATATTCTTAATCAGACAGATGGAGACGGGAATAATATGTTACATCTGGCAGGGGAGCTAGCTCCTTCCTCTCAACTTGACCGATTCTCCAGCCCTGCATTGCAGATGCAAACAGAACTACAATGGTTTAAGGTTTTCATCTTACCTGCCCACTTAATCATAGTATTTTAAAATTATTATTATTATTATTACTAATTATTTTAATTTATTTTTATACATGAAGTATGCTTTGATTCTCTCAAAAGTTTATATATAAAGTGTAACTTGTTTATTTGTTTCAAAAATAAAACCTAATTTGTTGTTCAAAAAATTAATGTGTACTTTTGTTAACCGAATGCAGGAGGTGGAAAGAATTGTTCCAGAATGGTGCAAAGAATCTAAAAATAAGAATGGTCAAACCCCTTACGAATTACTTTCAAGGAGCCATGCGGAATTAGTGAGAGCGTGCGAAAGATGGATCGGGGACGCAGCAAGTTCTTTTACTCTTGTTAGTACTCTAATTATGACGATCACGTTTGCTGCAGTCATCACTCTTCCAGGCGGCAATGCTCAAGATGGGTTTCCCAATTTTTTGCAGAAAAGATCATTTATGACGTTTATAGTATCTGATGCGATTTCCTTCATTACTGCATTAACTTCGGTCTTAGTGTTTTGGAGATTCCTATTATCGCCCGTCTCCCACGGAGATGGTAGCGTGTTCTCATCCAAGAAGTTGATCATTCTCCTCTCCATTAGTCTTATTTCTGCTGCAGCAATGACGGTTAGCTTTTCTGCTGCTCTTTTGATTATACTACAACATCGACGGTGGGCAATCATTCCCATAATTGTGATGGCTTGCATTCCAGTTCTATTTTTTGTATGGTTGCAGTTTCCCTTCCTTGTTGAAATGTATCTTTTGACATTTGCTAGGGGAGTATCTTTTGACAGAAAAATGAAGCCTTGGCTGTAGTGGAGCGCAAGTTGATTGATTTTTTTTGGAACATAAGTGAGCAGCTTCCCCTTCAAAGTTGAAATTCCTTTGCTTGTTCTTTGGTTAAGTTAGCTGGAACTTCTAATTTTCCTGTTCTATTTGGTTGGATTATCAGATTTTTTGCTTTTTAATTATGAGAGTGTGGTCTATGTACCTTCCCATTGAGTAAAAACAATATTAATCATGGATGTTATGTTATATTTTCAGATTTTTTTTTTTGACAGTAAAAATTGGTTAGAAGTAGTGTTAATGTCTGTTAATGAAAAAGTTCAAACAGTTGAAAAGGTGCAGATCACTTACTGTCCAATAATACTGTCCAATAATAATGTGACCACTTAGCCACGTGGGGTTTCCCGGGTCTGTGCTTTCTTAAGTATATATGTTATTGCTGGTTTAAAAATGAAAAAATGGGAGGTCATTTAAGATGGGTTTAATCATTGGACAATAAAAAAAAAGGTAAAGAATATTTAAAATCTTTTGTGTCGTGTTAAATATAAAATCCAACTCTTTTGAAAAAAAAAAAGTTATTCATTATCATTCCGTCCAAGTCCGTTTGCCTCCATTAATCCTGTCAACAATTATTGGTTTTTCTTTCCATTAACATCATTAAAAAAAATCTGAATTATACATTAGGGACTCAATTGTTATTATTCAAATTTTTATAAAAAGAATTTCTCATTTTTACCCCCAAAATTTAGTTATAAACTCAATGAATATTTGGCAAACAGTTTCAAAATATTTTGGTTTCTACTCTAAAAATTAACCCCTCACTACTTTTCAAGTTAAGATAAAAAAATTGTACATTTTTAAGCTTTCATTTAGTGTGCAGGATTAATATGAAGATTTACCTAAAAGAAATCAAGATTTATTTGAATTTAATGACAATATATATTCAAAAATTAGTTATATATATTTGATGGACACACGTCTAAATCTTGAAAAGAAACTTTCGAAGAATAAATTAAACCCTTGACATGTCAATCT